TGTCGTGGTAGCCTGCCAGGTGCACTGACACTTTGACTACTGTCTACTTGTTCGCGTTTAGTGGGGCATTGCCAAATCACTGGACAGAGTGATGTTAAGCTCTAGCTTCACTAAACACTCAAACGGGAAAATCTCCATGGAGTATTGAGCCAAAATGATTTTTAAAAGTATATTTTCAGTCAAAATCTGCATCTCATTCTCATAAGCATGTTGTAACATAGTGATTAGGTGTCTATTTTGTAGATATTTATAGGACTTTCTAGAATTTCCTTGAATTATTGAAGTACCTTAATGATTAAGTTTCCAATTTATTTAATAATTTGGTGATGAGATGTTCACTTTCTAGAATTTTGTAGAGTTATTTAGTTATCTTAATTGTTTTTAATTGTGTAGAGTTAAAAAATAATTCTTTTTTTCTTTTTCTTTTTAGTTGAATAAATGACAGAAATAAGATAATACATTAACATGAATTTCCTTTACATGGTTTGAAAGGATTCTCCTCAATCATTGGTCTCACCAGGTTTCCACTATGAACAATAATATTCCCATAGTATATTATTATACATAGTAAACATGTAAGCAATGATAATTTATTATAATTTACTCATCTATTATGAATGTTAGTATATGATAGTTGTCAAGGGAATAGTTGGAGGAATAATAGAAACTTATTTGTATTGAGAGAGTAATAGTAGTTGTGGTAATTGTTGTTGATGTTGTTGATATATTACAATGAAGCTCTAATTTGCCTATTTATAGGCATAATGCTCCATCTCTAGATGATGGTGAAAATATCTAGAATTTTCGATAGCATTGACAAACATATGTTCTATAGCTTTTTTAGATTAATAAGATTTACATCGTCTTAATTTATGCTTTTTAAGATTTATATATTATTTTCTTTTTTTCATTCAATTTTCAAATATAAATTATATTTGAATTTGTATTCTGGACTGCCTGGGTTAGGTTTTATATTTTTGACTGTATGCAGGTTTCAGGTGTATCATAAAATAATACAAATTAAAAAAAATGAATACATTATTTTCTTTTTTTCATTCAATTTTCAAATATAAATTATATTTGAATTTGTATTCTGGACTGCCTGGGTTAGGTTTTATATTTTTGACTGTATGCAGGTTTCAGGTGTATCATAAAATAATACAAATTAAAAAAAATGAATACATTTACGTCAGACTATACCATGTCCCACATAAATTTACGTCGGACATGGTATAGTCCGACATAAATATTTTAGTTTTTTTTTTGTTTTACAACTTTTTTTACGTCGGCTATAGGGAATGTCTGACGTAAATTTACGTCGTCTATTACAACCAACGTAAATTTACGTCTCCCGCATTAACGTCGGACCCTTTTCTGACGTAAAAAGCTTAAAATAACCGATGTAAATTACCCATTTTGTACTAGTGTGCATTTTGGCGTGAAAACGACTGGATTGGTTCGATAAGGTCAAGCCATTTAGACTACTCAGGTGTATTAGGAGATCTCTATAGATAAATGCATGACGACACATTAGTTGAGGTGTATGCATATGATGTGTTGTTGATTGGTGTTCATATGCATTGGATGAATATATTATTGTTGATGTAACCATGAGGTGTTTTGGTTGGTTTAAATGTTGGTGAGTAGTATAGGTGTTCTTTCCTATGCTAGTATATTTTTTGACTCTAACTTACCCTTGTGTATTTTCCATGTGATTTGGACTGCGATGATCATGATTTTCATGAGAATAGATTTCCCTGCCCCAAAAATTAGTAATCCCCGCAGAAACTATGGCTTTCATCCAATACATGATGTAATAGCCACATTCAAACGAGTCTTGTTGCTTATTACACTAAAATGAGAAACAAATAACTATTATTTCCAAAGTCGATAAATTTAAATATTATTGACTGTATGAATTAATTTGCTAACCTTAGGGTATATGAAATGCAATGACTTTGATGATCTGGCTCTTCCACTTAA